TCGGTATATAACCGATGGACGCTTGCTTCGCGGGTGTTGGCGTGTTAACGGACGCCCTCGTGATTTAGCCCGTAATTAATGGGTCCTGAGGGGAATATGAGAGGTGGTCTTAGGGTGGGGAATTCCGCTACCGGGTTATTGATTGGGTCCTACCTGACTCCGTATTCGGTGGTATTAACCGGTATTTGTTGGTAACTCTTCACTATTTTTCAAAACTTAAAGTAAACTTGGCAGATCGAACTATCTCGCGCAATGGCTGAAGTGAAAGAGAACCTTCTCTTCAGTTTGACCCAGTAGCTTCCCCCTTGACTTAAGCCCATTTCCACCTCCCTCCCACTTTTCCACCACTCCTTGTCCATATCCTTCTCCTGTTTCCAACGCCCACCTTCATCCTTACTCCTTCCCGTTATGTGTTCTGTGTTATGTGTTGTTGGTGTGACTGGGTTACAATATTTAATTGGAACGTTGGTTTGGGAGTGGTCTTTCATTTGCCTTACATATTTAATTATATTTACATTCAAAACAAGACAATATTGCATACAAGAAACTGACATACAGATTGAATTCACAATGAACACACATATAACCTATTCCTCGCTCTCGCTATCTCCTGATTTTTCTCGCTCGAAGAGAATCAATAGGGTACAGGAACCAAAACGGTAACAGTGGTTAGGTATATCAATATCGCCGAAAAAAACAATCACGAAACTCTGTGATCAATTTCAGTTCGAAGTTCGATGATAAGTTTAGCAACTATCGGTGCGAAAGCCGAAAACGCAAATTCACAATCGTGATAGCAATGACCATAGGGGCCTCCCTTAGCTCAGTCGGTAAAGACGCAGCTACAAAGCAAGACCATGCTGGAGGTGGCTGGGTTCAATTCCCGGTCCGGTCTAGGAATTTTTCGGGTTGGAAAATTTCTCGACTTCCCTGGGCATAGAAGTATGATTGGACTTACCACACAATTATACCAATGCAAAAATGGTACAGGCATCGAAAGCTCTCAATTAATAACTGTAGAAGTGCATCTAGAACACTAAGTTGAGAGCACGCTATAAGCTAATATGCGATAAATATGCAATAAGCTTGAAATGCGAAGAAGAAGAAGAAGATAGCAACGACCGGTGCTAACTAAAATAGCAATTGCTAAAGTTGTCAAACTAGCAGCCCGAATAGCAACGCATTGGTGCGGTTGCTCTTATGCCCAGTATAAAGGGGAGAGTTATGGATTTTATTTGACATGTTTGAAATTGGAAATTCTGTATACTTGGAGATCTTCTCAATTAAACGTGATCTTTCTAGACCTTGCTTGCTACATTATAGAGATCTTTGATCAACTGAGGGCCTTTGGCATAACTCCTGATCAACCCACTATATGTACATAATATCTGAGATACATGATTTGAATAACTGGATCGATGTGGATCTTCAGAATAATATGTTATCAATCTGAATTCTGTAATTATCCAAAGGGTTTTACGGAAATGTTTGATCAATTACAGGTCTCTGAAATAGTTTTTGATTAATCTGCGATCTTTAGAGAATATTTTGAATCATGATCTAGGCTATTGAACAGTAGAGATCTTCAGAATATTGTCTGATCAACATGAAGTCTTGCCTGCCATAGTATCTAGAGGACTTTATAAAGGTTTTAGATCAAAAGTAAGTCTGTGCAAAAAAAAAAAATCCCGATCAACCTGCTTTCTGAACGCAGTATTTTAGGAAAATATTTGAAAAACTGGACAGTTGGAGATCTTAACAATAATTCCTGACCAACCTGATGGCGTGACAAAATATCCAAAGGACTTTTTCAATTGAAGGTTTAAGAAATAATTCCTGATTAACCTGCTATCTTGCCGTACTGTCTAAGAGACATGATTTGGTACGTTGAATATTCAAGATCTTCAGAATAAAACATGATCAACCAAAAGTCTGCACAAAATATCCAAAGGTCTTTATGCTGGTCGTTGATCAGCTAAAAGTCTGTGAAAAGATTGCTGATGAAACTGCAATCCTGAAAAATTGTCTGAGAAACATGGTTTGAATTATTGACCAGTTACAGTTCTTCAGAATAATACCTGGTCATTGCCTTGACAAAATATCCAGAGTACTTTACGCTGGTCTTTGAAAAATTGAAAGTGTTTGGAATAATTTCTGACTATCCTACTATTTTGCAAAAATATTTGAGCTATTGAACAATTGGAGATCTTCAGAATAGTTCCTTATCAACCTGAAGTCTTAAGAAATGACCCAGAAAGCAATATGGAGAACTTTGATCAACTGAAGATTTTGAAATACTTCCTAATCATCCTTCTGTATTGAGAGAATATCTAAGAAATATAGATTAGTTTATTGAAAGATAAGCCTTGACAAAATATCCAAAGAGCTTTCTGGAGATAAATGATTATCTGAAGTTCTTTGACATAATTCTTGATCAACCTGATGTCTTGACAAAATATCAAGAAGACTTAATGCAGTTTTTTGATCAATTTAAGGTTTTAAGAATAATTCCGGATCTACCCGTGTTTGTGCAAACGTCCTCTACCTGAGTTCCTACCCTACCAGCTGTGTGTTGTATTGTATCCCTATACACTATCAATAAATAGAGTAGTATCTCGAATACCTCCGCCATGGCAGGACGGTCAAGCAAACTGTGTCTATTATTCATACATCCGTAAACACAACGTAGGAAAAGTTCTGTCCGTGCGCGATCAACCCGTTTTCTGAAAGATTTGAGTTGGAGATCTACAAAATAAAACCTAATAAACTAATAGCCTTGAATAATTATCCAGAGGATTTTATGACGATCATTGATGAATTGAACATTTTCGGAATGATTCTTGATCAACCTGCTATCTTGCAAGAATATCGAAGCGACATGACAAGATAATCATCAATCAACCAGAAGAATTGTCAAAATATCCAGAGAACATTATGCAGGTATTTGACCAACTGAAAAACATTAGAATAATTTCTGGACAGTTTACGATCTTCAGAATAATACCTGATCATCCTGAAGTCGAAAGTGTGAAATATCGAGCGATCCTTATCAATATCCTCGATCACTTGAAAGTCTTTGGAATAATTTCTAAGTCAGCTGCTATCAAATGAGAAAATATCAGAGATGTGATTTGGATTGATGGATTGCAAGATATCTCCATACTATAATAGAATGGTATCATATGAGGAAATATCTGAGAAAAGGGTTTTGAATTGTCGGATAGTTGGATATCTTCAGGTATCATACCTGATCATTTAGACGTCTTAAATAAATATCTAGAGGAATTTATGGACAATTCTGATCACCTGAATCTTTGGAATATCTTTTAAGTAACCTGGTATCATGCGAGAATATCTGAAAGACGTGTTTTGAATTGTTGGACAGTTGGTTTTGTTGAATTGTTGGACTAGGTTAATTACTGTAAAAATCGACTTTGTTGCACTCGATGAGTCCCAGTTAGCGTGAGTAAGGCTTTGTGTTCCATCTGTCAAAATCTGACATGAGACAAAATCTATCATGCGAAACCGCATTGGCTAAACCTGGTCATGTGCCAGCACAGAAAGTGGCCAAAATCCGTAAACTCAAATCGCATGAGACAACAAGATCAATGGTTATGTTATTAAAATGATTATGTTATATTACAAGTCCAGGCAGTTTCCTCTGCTTGTAAACTAAACAAGAAGTTGCGCCAGTATGGGGAAGCCTTTACTATGGTGGCTGTCAAAATAACACATTTTAACCAGAATATTGTATAACTGTATATGTGACTTGATACAGAAAACAAAATTTTAAAATTGCTTCCGAAAACATCGTTGCAACGTTTAGGAACACTTTCGGAACTGGTGGTTTTTGCAGTAATTATGATTACGCTGAATTGAATAGCTTAGTCATCATCAAATCGAAGACGGTGGGCTTAATTAACAGTCATCGAACGCCAGATTCAATTTATGGATTTACTACAACATTCTTCAGACTAGACACTGAAGAAGTTTGCAAGTAGTAAACGAAATAATTATCTGTTATAGTTTTTTTTTTAAGTGATAGTGAATGTAAATAGTGAAAGTGATTGAATGTGAAAGTGATACAATAGTAGTAGAATTAAAAGGAAAAACAACGTTATACAATTGTTCTACTAAAACGCTCATCAATCATGAATCAATAGATTAATGATTAATCTCTAAATAAGGGATTAAGACTAATCATTAATCTAAATAATTAATCATTTATCATGAATAATTTTATGATAACGCTCTGGTCACAATACTTCCCAGGAAACCCAATATTCAACTGGCTCACTATCCCTCGACGCATAATTTCATGCGCCTCACGATCATAAAACCGATTATACGATCGTTGAAGAGAGTAAAAAATTCTCATAAAATACGCCATGAAAACCGTTCAACTCTGCCATGCGTCTATCGTCGTCTATCCTGCGGGCATCAAATCGTAGTCCAGCCAGAAGGAAAGCCACACACGCATTACTGCTTGTGAACTCCATGATCATCCTCATCCCAAGAACGGCTCGATCTTGCCTCGGCTTGTCCACTATCCAGCAAACCAGCCGGTCGGTCGTCATCCTAGAGTCGATACTTTATTCCTCCGCACAAATCTTCGGAACGTATTTCTAAAAATAACAAACTCATACACTATTACAAATAAACACCAGTCGGGGAAAGGGTTATTCCTATATGTGATTGCGATCGATTCCCGGAGATTTGGGGTGTTGTGCTGCGATTGCCGAAAATCGGCTACCAAGACGGCAGCGGCGGCGGGAAGAAAACCGAAAGGCGTGCGATCGTCGTCGTCGTCGTCGTCGTCGTCGTCGGTATAGAATTTCTGGAGGAACCGACAAGTGTAAGTGCGTGGGTTGAGAGGAGGGAAATTATTGCTTACCGAGGCACAAAAAAGCGGAGAGTTGGAAAATGTCTTGTTTGGTTTTTTTTTTGTTTGTACGAAGGATTTCTCAAATTAGTTCATCGTTTCGCTTCGTCGGGTTCAGTCGTGTGCGCCTCTCACTTGGAACCAGCTGGGCCTGGATTCGGAGCTGGAATAGAGATCCAGTGACCTCTTGTAGACAAATGAACTGCTGTGGTTGATTTTAATAATCTATTAAAGAGGCAAATATTTATTTTTTGTTTGATTCAAGTGCTCCAAATATTTACAAATAGTCGATTTGATTATTGAATCCCATGTGTAGACAGGGCCAGTGTGTGTTTACGGGATTCGTCCGGTGTGTCTATTGAGGAAATAGCAATTCAATTGTGTGTTAATTGAGTTTTGTTGTGACTGATTGGTGAATTTTTAGAATTAGGGAAAAATGATCAAAACGGAAGAACACGCAGATTCCAGTACGGTTGCCGTTTCTGGAGGCTACCATTATCGAAATATTTCCTCGAACATTGTGGTGGCCACGCCGCACATTATTGAGAACCCTGCACTGCAAAGTATGGATAACCATTACCATTATCATGGTGCTATATCTTCGTCGCAAATCGACGTGAAGAACGAGATGGACGATCGCAACTCTCCGGCTTACCACGTGACGGATGTGAAAATGGAAACGGACAAGATCCCTTCGATGTATCACCACTTCGACAAGATCTCCTCGTACTACATCAACCGATCGCCGTATCTGATATCGCAAGTGAACGAGGATTCCGAATATGCCGAGCCTCGTGCCTCGTACCTTTCTCAGCTGGACAATTCCATCAACACCATGAAGCTCTCGGATTCCGTTTCCATACCGCCATTGATTAACTATCAGTCCCTATCGCACCCAGACATGGCGTCTCTGCAGCGCTGTCGAAGCAACGGCAGCAGCGGAGGTCATATTTCGCCGACTTCGTCTATGAACTCGACGCCTCTGCCCACCATAAGCAACGTCCATTCGATGGTGGTTCATCCCACCAGTAGCACCAGTGGAGGTCACATTACCATCAATCAAAATCCAATGCTTCACAAATCGCAATCATCGTCGCCGATAACTCCGGCGGCATCACCGACTCTGTCCAGTTCATCGCAACCAACGTCGGGGATGAGCAACTCAGCGGCAGCGGGGCAGAATAAGAAATGCACTGCCGCCGGAAACGGAAGTGGCGAACAGCAGCTGACCAGTACGACCGGGGCCGGAGAAACCGGATCGAAGAAAACGAATGGAGGCCGAAGGCAGGAGAAGCCTCAGCTCAGCTACATCAATATGATTGTGATGGCGATCAAGGATTCGCCCCACCGGAGAAGGACGCTCAGTGAGATCTACAAGTATTTGCAGTCGAAGTGAGTACCGGTTCCCAGCACGATTTAAGCATGAAGGGAGCCTTATCCAGATAGGTTGTACAGTGATATTTCGGTTTTATCAGCGATCGTTTTTTTTCACCCTCAGTTTATATATCGGTTTTATCACGAAAAATGTTTCAGAATTGAATGAATGAGCTGAAAACTTATATTTATCATTGATTTATTGTCATCAATGTACTGCAAAACATCGTTAGAAAATGTTACCGATGGTGAATTATTATTGTGCCCAATAAACCACTTTGAAATTTCGGGTTCTACATAGAAATGGTTTAAGATCTATTCGTGAGAACTGTTCCTTAATAGGTATGTTCCCATAATTGCTTTTCTGTAAGATTCCGTACTTTCTGCAGCATATTAGGCCTGAACAAATCACAAATTTTTCTTTTGTCACTCGATGCTCGCACTAGTCGAGGAGGGGTGGGGGGATAAAAAATAAACCAAAAAAAAAAAAACATGTAAAATTCGTTTTACATTATATCTAAACCGTATATTTCAAACGCTAACATTTTTACTTAGCCTCCGTTTTAGCCTTATACTTCTTTGAAGCCGTTATTTTTGACACTAATGCCACAAATGTTGACTATATTATGTGTAACACTCGAGTTATCAACAAGACATTTCGCGCATAAGTTTTTGTATCCTTTCAAGGAAGAACATTGGTAATAATGTAGATGAATAGGATCAAAGGAATTGATTTTTGGGTGTTGATAAATTCCGGGTAAACCATCAAGTGGAATACCACAAACGTAACAGTTTTTATGAAAAAAAAAAAAAACGTTCTGTTTTCGATACTTCCTCCCTATCCAAATATAACTCAGTTTTCTCAACAATTGTTCGTGCTTCAAAAAATCTAACTAGACGTATGGATTCAGGAAGGTCTATTCAACAAAATCCAAGCGTAATATTCAAAGAAAGGAGCCAAAATCCATCTTGACTGAACATAAAAACCAAATTTCAACAAAAATACGTAGTTTTGTCAATTTAAACCTGGCTTTGGAAGTGCTTAAAAAAATAATCATCACATATGAATTCAGCAAAGTCAATTCTATAAAATCTAAGCATAACTTTCAAAGGACAGTATCAAAATCCAACTTAGCAGAAAAGGAAAACAAAAAATAAACCTTTTCGAATTACAAACCCGGTTCAACCTTCTCGTATGGATTCAGCAAGGTCCATTCTAAAAAATACAAGCCTATTTTTCAAGCAAAAATGCAATTTGGCAGAACCGAAAAAACAAATTTCTATGAAAATACGAATGGATTCAGCCTTTCGGTAAAACCCACTCCTATTTTTCAAAGGAAGGAGCCGAAATTCAACTTGGCTGAACAAGAAACCCAAATTTCTATTAAAATACGTACTTTTTAGAATTCAAACCCAGTTTTCTAAAAAAATGTGCATGCTTCAAAAAATTTACCATCACGTATGGATTCAGCAAAGGCCATTCTATAAAATTCAAGTCTATTTTCTAAGATCGGAGCCGAAATTCAATTTGGCAGAACAGAAAAACAAAGTTTTTACGAAAATACGTACTTTTGTGAATTTAAACTCGGTATTCTCAAAAGTTGAAGAAATTCAACCCTCACGTATGGCTTAAGCAACTTATATCAAAATACAAGCCTATCTTTCAAAGATAGAAGCCAAATGAAAAAACCTTCTTTTGTGAATATTAACCAGGTTCGTCCTTCCGGTATTCAACAAGTTCCATTCTATAAAATCCAAGCACAAATTTCAAAAGATTGAACCGAAATCCAACCTGGATTCAAAAAAATCTACCATCGCGTATGAACTCACAAAGGTCTATTCACATTCAAGCCTGTTTTTCAAAGGACGGAGCCAAAATCCAACTTGGCTGATCAAGAAACCCAAATTTCTATAAAAATACGTACTTTTGTGGTTGTAAACCCAGTTTTCTCAACAATTGTGCTTGCTTTAAAAAAAAACTACCATCAGATATGAACACACGAAGGTCCATTCTTTAAAATCTCAGCCTAATTTTCAAAGGATGTGAATCTCACAAGCACGAGGAAGGGATCTACGGGAGCGGAATCTACGTTAAAAGTTAGGTAAATCACTTCAGGAAGCTCAGACTAATATTCAATATAATTCAATCACTCAACAGAACAGTTTGAACTCCCTAAGGAAGGTTTTGAACCACTTCAGAAAAGTTTGGACACCATTTGGAAAATTTAAGCTAAAAAAAAATGTCGGTTCACTTCGGAAAACTTTCTACACTTTCACTAAGCAAGATTGTGTCCTTGCCAAAACGCATAGGCTTTGCGTTAATTACATGCCTGGTTGCCAAACATGATGCAGTGAGCGTTTGGGTTGTGCTAACCTTTAACCGTGTTGTTATTTTTATTTAAATACTCAATTCTGTATAATAAATATGTACCTGTTTTTATCTACAATATATTTTAGAGTTCAACTACGATTTCTGTATCACTACATCTACCCCCAACAGTACCTATATGTTATATGAGTATTTTTGTATCACAGTCCTATTGAAAGTAAAATGAGCATAAAATAACACGCGTGAGTCATTCCTTTCTCTTGGTTCGACGGTGTCAAACGAGTGTTTCATTAAGGAACGACAAATTCGATCACAGTAGAAAATACAGCAAGGATTACGATTTCAAGTACCACCACGCCAGCATCATCACAAGCATAGATTCTGATTTTTGATTCATCTCGGAAAAGGCAGAAGTAGAAAAACTATCATTCGACTCCGGTAAAAAAACACGAATGACGATGCCACTTACTTCAAAATTTTTAGGCATCAGTACGGCCTCCAGAACTGAACAAAACCAGGCTAGAGAGTGCGAACCTAAACCAAGTCATGGAAGAAAAAAGTCAAGACAGGGAGGACACCTATTTTTAATATCAATATGCTAAAAAAAATTAATATTAGAAACATAACAATACGTGTGGGATGCATGCGTTTATAGTGTACAGTGTAAATCGAGCAGGCACATCATTTCCTCTTACAGGAACTCGAGCTCGGCGCTGCTTAGCATTCAAAGTCCCATACGGTTCATGGAGAGGATCCCCACTTTCAGCTGCTGCTCGATGTAGTGGTCAGCCATACGTCGCATATCCTCAGCAATTTTACCTATCGTTAGGTGTTTCAGGGACTGCAGGAAATAAATTTCATACTCTAGATCCAAAAATGCGCCTCAGTGTTTATTCGGCTGTCGACCACTCTCAATGTGTGTCACGCGATCGTCTGTTTACTCGGTAGCAACCATTGTGTGGTCCTCCTCATTGTTCTTCATCAGCAGTTCTTTCAGTCGATGCGTCGTCGACTTTGGAAAACAACCGTTTCGTGATAAATGTGTGAGTGCTGACCACGTTTTGCGTCCATTGCTACAATGGAAGCGCTCTGACCATCGTTGACGAATCTGCCATACAAGCAAACCACTGGAAGTGGCTCCCGTTCTGGAAGAGGAGGCTTATTGGATAGCGGAAGATAAAAGGTTTATTGTGTTGTATCTTCTATTATTTTAATATGTATTGTAAAGTGAACAAGAATCCTCGGCTCTGTAAAGTTAATTCGGTTGAGCCTTATCAAATAAATAATTTTTTTTTTCACTTGGTTGCAAACAAACCTAAGCAACGGGTAAATCGATCGAATCGAAAACTTCATCGCTCAACAGTGTTGTCGTTTTATATAATATTGTTCGTGACATACTTGTCAACGTATTCCTTAACGTGCCGAACAGTGTGCCATACTGTGTTTCGGCACAGAGTGCAGAGTTGATTACCCTTTGTTCCACCCTTTTTCTTCAGTATGTGCTTCGCAATTGAACAGTATTCCTCAATTAGCCTTAGTTCTGGACAGGGCTTGCAAATGTCATTTTCAATGAAAGATCTCACGCGATATTTACAGAGATATTTCTGTCACTATCATCGGTTGAGAAAACGATGATAGAAATTTTCTTCAAAATCTCATCGAATTTTTCGTCATGACAAAACGTGACAGTGTTGTGTTTATCGTAATTACTAGCTCATTATATTGTTTTTAAATTTACCGAGAAAATCGTAATAATATATTCACTCTACCATGATAGTGAGAGGATCTGTTTTCTCATTGTCACATGACGGCCGTAATATTTACCAGCTCTGGTTCCGGAGTATTGGCCGGATTAATCTCCTTGGGATCCACTGTGACGCCATTCTCACTGTAATACTGTTTGGTGAAATTTGAGTAGTGGCAGCTTGCTAAGTCCGTTTCAGAACGTCCCACACCGTGGATTTCGACAAAAGTTTAGTTAACTCTCGAGCGGATAGACCGGGATTTTCGTTTCGAGCCTGCAGGATTGAATTGCGACGAGCTTGCTCCAGTGAAGCCATGATGTAAACAAATTAACTTACAATCAAAGCCAACTGTGATTCTATACACTCTAAGCTTGACTCAGTGAAACTTTAAAAACTTTTACAGGAAAAAGGCCTTAATGGCAGCGTTTTTAATGTGTCCGGATTATTCCGTGTTACCTTTATATCAAGATCAAATATCAATGTGACAATTCTTAGAGTTTTTCATGCAAAAAACAGACAAAATCACATCAGTTACGAAGAAACTTAAAAGTTTTAAAGTGACTATAATAAAATTGAAAAAAAAGTCCAACTTACATGGATTTATTACTTACTTCATGAAATAGATTTTCAACCTCGGGTTGGTTTGACTCTCCATCCTCAAAAGAGCGGTTTCCGAATTTATATTTTTTTAACTCGCTGGTTGAACATTAGTTCAAGCGTAGCGCTATTTTACTTGACTCTAAAATGCTGGTAAGGTTGCCAGTTATCTTGATAAATGTCTTAGATTTATAACAAAAAAAAATGAACGAACTTACTTTGAGAAATTTAACTCAGCAATAATTTTGTTATGTTTTGTTTTATAAACAATAAATGAACAAATATTCTGTTTAAAAACACAACTTTACCATTGAATCGTGCTTTGGGCATACAATGACTCATTCAAA